CCAATGATCCTTGGGGTCGAGCACGGATGGCTCTTTATCCCTCCACGTTAATCCCCTCTTAAGCTGCGATAAAGACCGCCCTTAAAGATTAAGTAATCGTAGCGCAATGGCGTTCACCTTGCTCTTAATTATTGGATATTCTGAACTTTATTGCCAAGATCCACATATTTATTAATGATATAGTTTATACTATTAATTAATCATGCAGCATTTATGTAGTCGAAAATCTTAACAGTTACAAATTTTGGTTGAAAACTGATAAAAACCGTACTTTTGATATTGAGTGCACCGCGCGGCGTTTGCATGGTAATTTTCAAAATGAATAACTTTGCGAGCGTGGGGATTATAATGAGAGACGAGGAAACATTACCGGGAGAGAAAAATTGTGAATTGAAAGGTTAATGAAGCTCGCTGTAGTCTGGCCGACGGCAAGAATAGGTATAATCTCGCGACGCACGCAAAGCTGAAGAGATGCGCGAACGAATCGAACGTTCTTCCAAGACTGCATCTGCTTGCATTGCAATCGCGAAAAATTCTGTCACGGAAAAAAGCAGACAGCTGCAAACTGCCTCATTATGTGGCGCTCGCCGAACATTTATTAGCTAGAACGCAATATGCAATCGTATGCTTTTACGCCTATTTCAATGTATACGCTGCTAAATTCTGTCGCGTATGATTATGCACGCAAATCAGCTTCACCGCAAAATAAATTATTGTAAATTTACGAAAGTTATATGAATTGGCACATTTGCAAAAAAAGTGTCTACATTAATTCTTTCGAATTTAATTAATTATGTCGTAAAATTATCAAATTACGTATTACTAATGTAAAGAATTCTGAACACAAATGGATATAATTTAAAGGAATAACTAAAGCTACAAGAGAGCCAGTTAACCTTGATCAATTTTTATTTCATAAACGTGTTGTTTACAATTTCACAAACGTTTCGGCTATTCGGGTTGTGGCCATCTTTATTAGTGTGCTTATGTACAATTTATTAAAATATGTCTAATTATAAACACATCTGTGTGTATTTACGAATTCCGCAATTTGCATCTGTTACATACGCTTTTTTTGGTGTGAGAATCCACGCCATTTCCTTCCATTAAAATATCCTTTGTCCAATTATTTAAAAATATTTCTCTATTTCTTCCAATTTAATTGATTAATATGTAATTTTATGTCTCAATCTTAAGAGTCGATCTTATAACAATCAATTTATTACATTAATTGAAAATGCAAATTATACTATTAGATTTTTTGTGGATTTATAGTTTCTAATCAATAAAAAATACATAGATGTGCATCTTATAAAGCGCTATAACTTTCTATAAGAAAAGAAAAAACAATGTATTTATAATTTTATTATTTTATCATTAATATTTTACCGCACCTGCTTTTATTAATAGGCAATAGTAGCCTTGTTTTGTACTAATGGCAATAATAGCAAAGCACTTATTATAGACTTTTATGTATCAATGCGGCATGAAAAATTGCCACATTAAAAGGAATATCGTTAAATCCGGAGACGAAAAGTCAAATAGAGAACAGCGGAAAATCCGGATTCAATCCGGATTTTCAATCGTCGTTGAATGTAACGAGACGAGTTAAAAGACGCGATGGCAGATAAAAATCTACTACCTATCCGAAGCCGACATTCTCACAGCAATAAACATATTAAGTCTCGGTCTGTGAGGTAAAGTATTGGCCACGGGGGCTCGTCCAGCCTCGTGGCAGAGTAGACATTAATTTTTCTCCCGATCATCGACATTCATATCGTAGTAGCGAATCTCTCAAGAGAGCCGGACGTCCCGCTGCGCATTTGTGAGCACCAACCATTGAACGGCGCGCTACTGTACGCGTTAAAGACACTTCAGGGATTTATTGTAAGCACGAAATGCACCCCTCACTGCAAAATGTTCGATTGTAACGAAATTTAATATAGATTCGCCGCCGGTTTCCTGAAAACTCATCAAGAAAACGATCGCGGCAATTAGCCACTATTTTCGCGTTATGGTTTTAAACTCTTTCAGATTACAAGAATAATGTTTGTAAAAAATTTTGCAACTATACAAATAATACAATTACGTCTACGGTCAAACGCATGATAAAATGTGATTTATGCGAAAAGCTTACGCCGTGATGAAAACGGAAATAATGAGCGTCAAGTAGGACCCCATCCCTATAAATTTCTCTCGATTGTGACATCCGTCAATGCAAACGTTTTCGCAAATAAGCAATAGGAATCGTGGGGGACAATGAATACTAACGAACATACTACGGGGTGGCACCCAACGCGTGGGCTAAAATATTTCTGACGTTGGCTCTAGCTTGAGAAAAATCACAATAGTTTTGCAAATATTAGCTTAAAGATAAAAAAAATGTGTAAATTTGCAGTGACAAGTGTGATCACAATGCGCGTGAACAAAACTGAAATATCATCTTGAAGTTCCGGCCTCTTAAATGCTCATAACGGGATTATTCATGAAAAAAATAATGCATGGCGGCAAGCATGCTCGCGCTCGGTTTCGCATTAAAGACACTTCAAGGCTACGCTGTTACAAAAGGGGGATAGTGTTACAATGTGCAACGAGCACAGTGGAGAAACACCCCTAAGAATACCCTCGTCTGCCCTCAAATAGCCCGTATATAACCAACACGCGTCGTCGGTATGTTCTCAAAATATCAGTTGAAGACGAGACGAAGAAAGTTACGAAGAATCACACAAATTTTCACCGAATTTCACGCAAATATGTATCAAAACATATTTGCGTGTATTGCTAGTATTATAATTTATTCCGCGTCCACGAATACAAAGAAATAAATGCCTGCCTTTTTAAAGACGATGGATGTGGAAATGTTTTATCGCATATATACGAAAAAAAAAGAATTGTAACAAAATTGTAATTGCGGATAGAAATTTTGCTGGTAAAATAAAAATTAATTTAATATAATAGCAATATAATTTGCAAATTTCGCAAAATTATTTTCAGTAAATAAAATTAATATACATAACAAATCTCTTTGCTCTCCATATAATATATTTTGCTGTGAAGCGTGAAATGTGCTGTACAAATCCTTTTCTTTTGTGTGAAAAGAGTGTTAAACTACATACAACGGTATGACATATCTGTCGAATTTTTTGACTTCCGGTTTATGGGGATCAATCGATAGAGGGACAATTGACTATAAACTTCAATGCCGCGATAATCTTCTCAATGCTGAATATTTCCCTCGATTTGAATTCCGATGAAACTTAATATTCGCGGCTAAAACGCCGATTACACATGAAAAATACCTGTCGCATGTCAACTGGCTTCCTACTGGAGATCAGGGATTTTCGAAATTTGATATGTTAGCCATTCAATGATCGGGTAAGACGTAAATGTCAGGAATACACAGTAAATCGACAATGTTTGAAGCTGCAGCCTATTCAAGAAATCGTAACAGTCGAGGTTTTCGGTCAACGATACGAAAAGATCGGATCTCGTTCTTCGTTCTTTTATTCGCGCCTTAGTGCGTTCAAGGCGATTTCCCGAGATAAAATCGAATTTGTCCAAACAGTGGGGAACGCGGCTGTGAAGCATTGAGGGCTGACTAACGTACGTGGTATAGTGAAAGTTATAAGAGTAAGTCAAAGCTCGGCATCAATATTCAACGCATTATTTACGCTTACAATAGTAAAAAAAATTACAAATTTTCTTTTTTATAAAAATTATATTTTAGCTAACTTTTTTGGAACTAGGTCTCAATTTTCAATTCGAAATTGGAAGAAATGTCCCAATTTTCCCGACACGGCCGCAAACGATTGATCGTTCATAGTGCACTTATCGAGACTACTTGAACGCGCCGCGGTTTTCGAGGGATCGAACAACGTTATTGTAGCAACCACCGTGTTCACACAGTATGAAGAGGGTTTGACGTATGGTACTTGACTTAAACGTGAGCTTGGGAAAATCTCTCACTAAAACGATTGTCGTCATGTAACGCCATTTAAACGATTCATCCGAACGAGGATTTAATGTCGATTCGACGCAAAAATGTTTTGCTAAAATTTTATGCAATTTCTCGACTTTTTCTATTGCATAACGGTATCAAAGTACATTTCCGCGAAAAACGTGAAATTAAATTCATTTTTTAGCAAGGTACAAATCAATTAAAGTCTCTCGATAGAATATTTCGAAGCGTATGGGATTAAATCGTTTTTTATCCATTGTGGCATATTAATAAATTTGATCTTCTCGGAAAATCGCCTTGAACGCACTAAGGCCCGAATAAAAGAACGAAGAACGAGATTATATAACTTAATTATGTGACTTATAATTTACGTTTGGAACAATATTATACGGTAATATTATCCATGTGTATTCAGAATTCTTTACATTAGTAAATTCAAAAGAATTAATGTAGACGCTTTTTTTGCAAATGTATCAGTTTATATAATTTTCGTAAATTTACAATAATTTATTCTGCGCACGGTGAAACTGATTTGCGTGCATAATTATACACGACAGAATTTAGCAGCGTATACATTGAAATAGGTATAAAAACACGCGATTACATATAATCTAAAACTTAGTACGGAAAACTGCGGCGTTTAAAAACTACAAATTTTATTTACATTTTTATATGAAATTATTTATGTGATAAAACTACTGGATAGAGAATTCAATAGAAAAATTAGCAGCAATTGTTTATTTATTCTGAAGAAAAATTGATTTAGTAGTTTTATCGATAGAATCTCCGTACAAATATCTGCTTTGCGCAAACTAAAGCCATCTGTTGGACGAAAGATGAATTCAAAATAAGATTCATGGCTGGAAAAGAGATTTTTTTATTTGTTGATATCTGATAAATAATAATTATTAATTATTATTTTATTTTATTTTTTCTACATTTTTAATCCTTTTGGGGATTTTTTCAAGAAATAATACAAATAATTAAAAATATAAAGTTTTTACGTTTTTTTGTATTTATTTATGTATTTTTCTTTACTTAGACATAATGTCGAAGGCAAATAATAAATTTTGGAAACAAATGATTGCGTTGACGCCTGAAAATTTAAGGATTCCAGAAAGACGTATTGATATACCGATGGTCGACAATAAAGAATTTAGGTAAAATAGTTTTTTAGGCGTTTGTTACGTTTATTATTTACAAGTTAAACATAAAATTACATTAAATATATTGTAATCGAAATTTCTGACACGCAATATCTAGGATAAATTTAATCGAACGCATTGAAGCTGTTACGCTAAAGATAATAAAACAAATATCCACTGGACAATCACCACAAATATCGTATTCCAGCGGTCGAAACATTACTATAGAATCTAGCTTGCGTGAAGACGTTTCTCCCGGATGCTCGTCCGATCTTCAGGATACGATATCCTACAATTCTTTATTTGATTTGGAAAGCGAAGAACAGGGTAAATAGATGTAACGGGCGATTTTAAAAATCGTTTTACTTCACTATTGGCTGCGTTTAGAAATTTTATTCCGGGTGACATTCTTTGTCTATTATTGTCTGTTATCTTTGTCTGTTATCATCCAGAGTAGGATTTCTAAACGCAATCAATAATGGTGAAATAAAACGATTTTTAAAATCGTCTGTTTCTTTGTTCTTAGAAGAAGAATTTTCTCAAAATTCAAGAAAAACCACTGTCAATTTTGCGGTAAAACGTAGCAGAGATAAATTTGTTCTTATGATTTTAATAATGTCCGAGGTTCATCATTTGTTACTAACGAACACGACAAAGACTAAACGATCGTTCTACTATGACTTGAAGAATGATATAACTGGAAGTTTGGTATCTGATCAAAAATATGTTGATCGCGCGCTGAACGATGTCGCTAATTTACTGAAATGCGCACCTTGGGATTTAAGTGAGTTTGCGAAATATATTAATTTGAATAATTATTAAAAATAAAAAAAAATATATATATATAAATGCGCAACATAATATATAAAATATATAAAAAAATGAAAAGAGACTGCTAATCAAAAGTCCTTCTAGGACTATTGGCAACAGCTAAAGGATTAGTGGCAGGAAATATGACCATTACACTTGATGATAATCAAGTCATCGATTGTACGATACCAGGAGGGGCGCAGATTCCACTGATTACATCAAATGTAACTGCTATTTGTGTGAAGGCTGAATTTGTTCTAATCATTGAGAAGGACGCAGTTTTTCAAAAGTTGCTCGAGGAAAACTGCCCTCGCATTTTAAATTGTATTTTAGTGACGGGAAAAGGTTATCCAGATGTGGCCACGAGAATGCTAGTTAAGATGCTGTCTGAAAAAATCAATCTCCCGGTTTATATAGTCGTAGACGCGGATCCTTTCGGTGTGGACATTATGTTAACTTATCGGTAATTTAACCAAAATATTATTACTTTATATTGAATTACTAAGAAAATATGCATTTCCTGACTTCAATGCTGTAATGATTTTTGCTTTTGGTATAAAAGTCGGATCGTATGTTACGTTAGTAATTCTTATTTGGGAAATATTTTTTATTTTCGTAAGTGTAGTGTCATTTTGATTTTTTCTATAGCTTTGGTTCATCGACTCTTTATAAAGAAAGCGAAAGCTTGGTTTGTCCTAATGTGCGCTGGCTCGGAATCCATCCTTCAGAACTGATTTATCTACAAGTGAAAACAATCCCGCTTACCAAGGCCGATCTCATAAAATTGAAATCTATCGAAGCCCGGACTTACATAAACGAGACTATATCGAAGCAGCTGAGTATACTGCGTAAAGGGAAGGCAGAAATAGAAGCGGTGGCTTTTTTAAAAAATTTTTTTACTGCGACGTATTTGCCTAATAAAATAGACAGCCAAGATTATATTTAAAACGTATACTCTTCATGCGTAGTTAGATTTTCTGTAAATTTAACAGAGAAGTTTAATTGAAATAAATTCTATGAAATACTTGCGTTCTCTTATCAAATAAAACGTCGAGGAATTAAATTGTTAGAGCTGTTACGTAAAATGAATATAAAAATGCTTTACTTCAAACGACGCGTTATATTCTCGCTTCTTACTTTGACCCTTTTTATTTCCGACCGAACAACTTTCTCAGAGAAACTTTCGTCGCTGTCTTCCAGTGTTACAACCTGCGGATTTTTATGAAACGTGCCTAGATATATAACACTGCCGTCGGATGGGATGAGAGATTCGATTAGATCTGTCGTCGCTTTTATCTCACGACTTTTCGAACGTGTCGCGTACGGATGCTCGTGCAGTCTTCAATATAAAATTTCGAGCATCTGTCAAATAACATGAGCTATCGAGTGGATATTTTTCAATGAACTGATTTACCGCTTTTCGGTGTGATTAATAATTTTGTGTCCGTAAGGTTTTTTCTGTTTTAAACGGTTTGAAAAAATTGTGCGTTTCCTTTTCCTCATTCGATAATAAACCATTATTTTTCAAGTTTCCGCAATGTTGATGTTGCGATTCTTGTGTGCTGTCAGAAGAAACCCGTGAAGAGATGTAATGTAGAGGAAAAATTAAGAATGCTTCAGATAATGTAACAGTTTATTGAAAACACTTTATCCGTCCGATGTCTGGGCGGAGCATCGCTGATATTAAAAAACGCAGAATCTTAATAACATGATTATCTCGTGGATGTTACGTGTAAGATAACTTGAACGATATCCGCGAAATCGGCGACAGGTTATAAGTCCATAAGCGAAGTTAACTGCAATCGCTCTCAAAAATTCGATTGAATTTCATCTTCGCAATCTTGTCAATTCATCTCTCAGCAAAAAATTAGATGTGAAACTTTTCTCAATAAATTCTAGTAATTAATTACATAAAATAGAATTACAAAGACACTTCATGTATTAAAATAATATAAATTTCAGACAAAAATTTTAGATGCGTTAGATGAACTGAAATCTTTGAAGCAATTCATTACTTTTTTTTTAATAAACGAAAAAGGTTTTTTTCTAACAGAATAAGAGATGTAAATCTTTAGTCAATTCCTAACTTTTGCAGATTCATTGCTTATTTTTTTCGACATTATCATTAATCAGTGCGAATCATTGATTAGCCGATTTCGTGGATATTTGCGGTGCAGGTCCGTGCGAATATCGCCAAAAATCGAGTAGAAATAACTTTCGTGCTACGAATCGAAGGCAAGAATCGATCGAGCAGTCCGATCGACATCCGTGGCTTTCATGGAATGCGTATCGAGCATTTCGATGAAATAGACATAAAAAACGATCTTTCAAGACAGTCAAACACGGTTTCGAGCGGATACAGACTTGTTTAGAGCCACAAATTGTTGGAAAAAAAGGAGTCACTCGTCGTCGTTAAGGGGTCTCAATTTGCTCTGTGTCGCTAGCACAGCAGAGCATCAAAATTGAAATTTTCTATGCGTCAATTTTAATATTTAAATACAGATAAAAATTTTAAAATTATTCGAAATTTAGATAAAGTGTTTTTTAGCAATTGATTTTTACATTGACTATTTATTTCTTCTATGAGAAATCAATGAATTAGACTAATTATTTTTACCTAAATTTATCGGCATTGATGTGTTCTGTTTGACGATCGATCGTGCCGATCAGTCGATCGATCTATACGACGAATGTACTTAATTCGCGTCAATTTGTTTGTGCGTTCGCACGGGCCCAATCTTTATATCGAGTTCCGCGTGAATTATCTGTTTTTTTTTTCTTTTTTTAATATATTGCGTGTATATGCGTAGATGTGTGTATGTGTATGCATGTGTGTTTTTGTTTAGCCTAGCGGCAATAATACGTTACCAAAAGCTATAGATACTCTTATGCGCTGCTACCAAGGTTTCTTTGTTGCGATTAACTTCATAATTCGCATGCTTGTTGCGTGCCTGCGTTCGTGATAATTTTTTTCCGATACCCTATGCTTACATTTAATTTGCCTCACTTTCTGCCGTTATTATATTTAATAATTGATTGTAGATTACACACTCACACACTCTCTCGTTCCCACTTTCATTCGCTTTATTTCTGTCTCCTCTTTCTTCCCCTTCTCGTCTCTTCTCCCTGCAATTCTCACGCTTCTTCAATTTTCATCAAACAATCAGTCACTCTTTCTCTCGTTTCTTAGATCAAACGGAATTTGTTTCAATTTCTCGCGTTATATTTATTCGGGGATAAATGGAAGCGATATTGTTGACGATAAACTTTTTGTTTCACTACAAATGACCAATCATTTATCGCGAAATGGAGGAACCTCGTTTAACATAACACTTGCTGCGTATTACATGTAATAAGTATTGCACATTGAAGGTTTATCACACAGAACTTTAGTTTATTGTGAGATAGCGAGAAAATGTTAAAGGAAATTTTTGCCAAGTTCTATTTGAACTTTTTTGAGCAAAACAATAGAAAATTTGTCGAAGCCTCCATTACGCGTTATATCTTTGTACTTTCTACAGTCGACAGCGGGCACATTATCTTGACTTAACAATCCTTTGCGTCTATTTTTATTTTCGCATAAATCGCTCCCGCGAAGTCTCCTCGGCCGCGATAGTTTGACAATACAGACTTCGCATCACGGTTTACAATACGCACAGCGATCATTCACGAGTATTCATTAAAATTATTAAGTAGTTTTCTTTTCTCTCCGTTTCTATTTATTATCGTTTGATTAGTTGCACTAGCCTTGATTGTCGGCATTTTGGGGCTGCTTGTCATGCAGCGTACATATGGCGACGTGCGACACTTTCTCATCCGAGCGTGCCTCTTTTCTAATTAACATTCACGAACTCGCAAGTTATTTTTTTTTCAAACAACTAGAAAGATTGACACGATCTCTCGAACATTATCTGCGATCTAACAAAGTTCTGATCAAATCTGATAAACATCTGATGAAGTAATTTGTAGAAAGTATATTTTAGGATACAATTAAATTAATGAAGACATTTTTTAAATTTATAATATCAACATAAATATTCTGTGCAGCTAGCGATAAATAAATAATAATAAAATAATTTATGAAATTTTTCGAAAGATGTGTGAAAATGTATCATAAAAATGTCAACACTGTCGCAGATATTTTCGAGACGTTTACGAGTCCTATTATTTCTCGACGACACCTCAGTTCATAGAATCTCCGAGCATTTTAATCTCTAATGCCGATCGCGTCTGATGATCGACAGCTAGTTGTGACGATTGCAAATATATCACTTGTTTAGCATAATCGTACATCTATTCGGGATTGATCAATGTATATCGAAGGGAAGATAATGAATCTGATACCTGCACCTTCGATGAGATTCGAGTTCACGCATGCTCTGACAAGTATATTTTTCATAAATCTTGTCGAAAATTGAATTTAGAAACCAGAAAAGACTGTTTGTCCTATAAATAACTCGTGATTTTTGCAAGCATCAGCGAAAAATCTCGTCGAAGGGGTCTCACGAAAGAACAATTCTCATGAGTGTATACGTATGTACAAATATTCAAAATTCAAACGGGTAGAAGAGAGGAGGGAGGGGGCGGATCAAAATGGGAATATATAAGAGCTGTATAGAACAACTTCTTACGCGTATAACATTATGATACATAGAACTAGGCGCCAAGCTGTACAACACAAAACTTACAGTAGCCGTTCGATTCTATATATAATGGTAAATATGTCGATGCCTTTGGACGAACGTCACCGCTTAGGCGTAGATACTTTTTCCTCGTTTAAAATCGAGGAGGCACCAGTGACGTAGCTAGAAAAAAAAAGAGATGGAAGCTTGCAAAGACACTCCCTAGACAAAAGTGTTGATTGCAATTCGCAGAGCCAATTATCCGTATCGAGATACGGTTTTTCAAATACCATTATTCGATACATTCGTGTAAAAAATGAGATATAAAGAAAAGTGCAAGTTTGCAGACTCCCAATAAGCTCTGTACGTTGATCTGTTATTCGTAATAATGTCGTCTTTAGTCGCGCTACAAAATCTCAGGCTCTTTCTAATAAACGCCTTTAGGACTTGGAACACAGCAAAACGTTAATGACGAGCTTGCAAACACTCGACGCCGATTTTATAAATGCCGTTCCGATGGCGTGTCACGCGAACGATGCGAATTTGCAAGTCGTCGATAAGCTCCGCACATAGTAATTCAGTCTGTGCTTTCGAATACGCATCTCATTTTTATCTCCGCATCTCGAAATTCATCGTTGCCTGAAATCGATTTCATGGCATATATGCGCGTACATTTGTCCTTGTAATACTTTTACGACGCGTGTCATTATCAAATAAATCGCTTGCGTGCTCATGCGTTGAGTATGAATTCATATTATCCGACGAATTATGTAACTATCGACATACCAAATCCGTACAGAAAACGCAAGCGACGTCGTTTGATAATGTACAAAAATACTACCAGACGTATTCTTTCTCGTTTCTCCTTTTCGTGATGTTTGAATTCTCTCGTGGCCTAGTGACATATGTATCACTAGATACGCGTCCAGAGAGAAAAGTGAGTGAGTTTTTCGTAGTAAAGAGGTAATCCGCAGGCGAATGATATATGTTTTAACGATATTGCTCATACAAACGCCATTTTACTCTCGTTTCGTGAATTCCTTCCGTTAATCTCGATCTTCTTTTTACATGAATTTCTTTCACATATCAAATGACGTTTCTTCTCCACTTTCTTCTTCTCTCTCACTCGCTCTCGTCTTGTCGGATAAACGATCTTCTTCTCCCGCCACGTTCCCAACCAGCAGCCTGACTTATTTCGCGATTCAGGCTCTGAACGAGCTTCCAAGAGATCACTCTTTTCGCAATCCGTTGCCGTGATCTCGAGGACGAGTCTCTGTATTAACGTCCGTTCTGGATGTATCGGAATTAGGCGTACTAGAGACAACAAAAGATTTCTTGGCTTGAGGCACTAGGAGGCATCCAGGGCGAGGCACTCGGCGAGGAAGTCCTCCATGGAACGATAAGCGTGTTCGAGTACACCCGTCAGGGCGTGATCTTCGTCTGCGTAACTCTGTTTTCGAAAAAAGAAACAGTTAGAACATTTCTCGAGGATATTTTGTATTACTCTTTCTCTTTTTTACCTGATATCTAAAGATGACTCCCGCTTCGGACAAAGCCTTAGCGAAGGCAACGCCGTGCGTGTAAGGCGCTGTGAGGTCAGCTAGACCGTGAAGGAGGTAAAGGCTGCGACTGGGCACCAATCTCGCTCGCTGCGTGAGATCAGCCTCCACGTAACCCTTGTAGTTCTCGGCTGGAGCGCCGAGAATTCGTTCCGTAAATGCGGAATCTGCAAACGCGAGAAATAATTTCTAACAATCCCTCCAAATTACAACAAACACATTATACACTGTAAGAAAAATCGGTAAATTTACACATCTAAGATGTAAAATAATGATAAATAACGGAAATATACCAAGTAAATAGTGTAAAATTGATGAAATTATGTAAATTTCTGTTATTTATCGTGTAATTTTTACATCTTAGTTGTGTAAATTTACCGATTTCTTTTACAGCGTTTATACATTAAATTCACGTACTATAATACATCCAATCGGCGATTGGATTTACCGCGACGCCGCACTTGAAGACATTTTCTTGACTGCCGAGGACCATCGCGGTCACATATCCACCGTAACCCCATCCCCAGACGCCGACTCTGGTGACGTCGAGGTACTTGTGTGTCTTGAGAAGATGTCTCAGCACAGTAAGTTGATCCTGCACCTCGACGCCACCTATTTTCCTGAAGAGATCCTTTTTCCCCTGACCTCGGGCGCCGCGTACATCCAGCCTCACGTAAACCACATCGTTGTGACTCGACATGTACGTTCCCCAGTCTATCCGGAACTTGTCCGTGACCGCTTCGCTACCAGGGCGACCGTTCACCTCAACGAGCACGGGAAACGCCGCGTCTCTGAGTTCCTCCCGCCACGAAGGAGGCAGCAGCAGTTGCACCTGCGCTCGCCAGCCTTGAGGTAGTGGCACCTGTCGGTCATGTCAAATTATCATTAGTGTATAATAATCGGCGGAGCTAGAATTTATCAGAGATTTGTCGGATAACAACCTCGAAATTTCGTCTGATGGGCAGTGCCAGTTCTGATAATTTATCCGCACGTTGAATTCTCGTGTCGTATAACACGCGGACCATCTTGTGCGACGACGTCATGTGTACGCCTGCGAGAGGAAGGCCAGGACCCTCGCAGTGCAATACGTAGTAACCCTGCGTGTCGTCGTTTATTGGCGGACTGACGGAAGCGCCGAAATGCGTGCAATTTGTGTAATAGAACCTAGTGCAACGAATTTGTCGTATTAATTTTATGCGTGCGATCAAAAATCAATTATAGCAATTTAGCATGTTGTATTTTTATCGAAATGAAAGAAAGGACTTGCCTACTGCTCCAAAGCACTTCTCCGAGATCGCAAGTGACACACAATGGCTCGAAATGACGAGGATCCTCCGCAGCGGGATCGCGTACCACGTAAAGATGTCTCTGACCGGGTCTTTTCTCTCTAGTGGCCAAATAATAAACGAGATGTGCCTTGGTGTCCCATGCTAATATCTCGCTTACCTGTTTTAGAAAGTAATGAAATTCTTACACAAAATCATACATTTTTGTGCGATAATATTTTTCTATACATTTTTATAAATATTGAATTGTGTAACAAATGATTTCAGATTTTCCAATAAATGATGTTATTATTTTTCACGCAACGCGCTTATAAAATTGCGATATTGGTAAAACTTAATTATATTCTTGACAAACAAATGTTATTTAATTTACTGTTAATCGAACTGCGCTGTGTCTGATAAAAAAATAGATTTGAAACTTTCGAAATTATTTATTACACAACTCAATGTTTTTCATATTTTATAGTAATATATATATCTATACTATAGGAATAATAAAATATAACAAGCTCTTCTCTTGAAGACAATTCGTTCGCTCTCGATCCGTTCGTTCTCATGGATAAGATTAAGATTCTCTTATTCTTGACATGCTTGCTCTTACGGTTGACAAAATTCGCATTGTCGAATCGTTTCCTCTCGCGCTTTCTAAAAGGTTTTCGCTCTCGAGATATTCGGTCTCGCGATTCAGAAAAGATTCTTTTCATGTCTCTTTGTGCTCAATCATACATACACACTCTATCATGACATTTCTTGATACGCCGCACTCGCGTCGACAATCATACCGCATTCTTCAATCGCTTCCGACATTCTCTTAGATCTCTTCCACTCGTTCTTTCACTTTCCCATACACTCGTAATTTTAATATTTCTACATATATAATATATCAAAGCCACTCACCTCGTAACGACCGTGCGATAAAACTGCTATTCTCTGCTGTGTAAGCGTGACGTGCTTTATGTGCGTAAAATGCTCTTTGTCACCTTCTTGCACCGTGGCTAGCAATAAAAAGCTATCACCATCCGGAGCGAAGAGAGGATGTGGCTGAGCGTCTAGCCATAGTCCTTCAGGTGCTCTCTCCAAGTGGGTCTCCTCGCATTCCCATAAAGGGCTACGGCAGGCCGAAACCACCGACAGATTCTGCATCCTCGTCATCCAGACGACGGCGATCTGCGTGGCGTCGTCGCCGACCCAGCCGGCTGATATCAGATAGGAATCTCTAAAAATATTTTCAAGGACAAATTTTATGAGCACTTTTATGGCACACTTTTGCCATTTTTGAAACTTTTGATATTAAATTAATATGTGTCAAGAAAACATTCAGTATTTAACATAATATAAAAAATTTTTTTCAATAATTTGACGTACTGTCCATCCAAAGACGGCGGCGGCTTTAACTTCCGTTTTTCTGGCTTCGTGATATTTCCGGTGTGATTCGTAGAGCTCACATTCCCAAGTTCCATAACCCACAGTTCGACTTCCGGGTTGGGCGAGCCCGGTGTCGGATACCTAATTGATCTGGAAGGCGGGAAGGAGCCTCTCTTGAATGTTCCCAGCGGACTCGAGCTACTTCCGTCTTGACCCAACTGCGTGCCAAACCAAGGAAATTGCAACGCGCTCACTCGCGTATCGTTGAATGTGGCATAGAGAATACGGGTGCCGTCTGGACTAGGCCATATTGCTTGCGGTATCGGTAGCACTTCTTCCTGATACAGCCAATCGGGCATGCCATTGTAGATCACTCCGGGTACACCCGTGTCGGTCAAGCGAATGTCCTCTGTCGCGGCGGGCGACATTCTGAGATAAATGTCGTTGTCGGAAATCATCAGGATGCTGGTCGTATTGCTCAGCCAAATGGCGTATTGCAGTCGCGTCTGCTGCATACGTCGCGACGTTTGCAAGCGAAGGGGTGTGTGATGACTAATAAGAAACATAAAAACGGATGTATAATATCAATTATTTTCATAGAGATTTGATTAATTTATCATAATGTTTATATAAATTGTTCAAATTTATTTTTGCATACTAAATTTATTTATTTTTAATTACGCTCACATATATTAGAAAATGATAATAAAATTACAGCTTCTTTAACGATACAAATAGATTTTACTAGCTCCTATAGATTTTATATATATATGCACTTACTCATTCGTGACATCGTAGACGGTGTAATGAGCGGTGAAAGTGTTCCGAAAGACCTGCACACAATATTATCTTATATATTATATAATAAAAATCGATTTCCGCACCATATAAAATATAAAGGATCGAAAAAGTTCGTAGTGCGGAGGGTCAATGCGTTTTTGATAGCGATAATCGACTGCTAACTGCAACTAAATTGCGCCACATCGCATTACACGTCGGAACATTGTCGATAAGCCACAGATCAGAAAGTTAGGATGCAGCTGCCGCGCGAAAAACTTTTCCCGAGAGGCTTCCACCTCTAAGCTACTTACCGGCTTGACATTGTGCCTGAACAGTACATAACGCAGGTCGGGACTGCATTCGTAGCCCTGAACATTCAATTGTCTCTGAAAGCAGCGTTTAATAAAAATTACATTATCTTTTGTATATCGAGTAGAATCTGTTCTCAGTATTAATAATTTAATGTCGAAGCCAACTGCTATTTCCAAAGTTTTTATCGATTGGTTTTCCTTATTGCAAATATTTTTAGTTTCTCAAATATTTCTAGGCCATTTTTGCACTTGTGTAACATTCATGAGTTTTTTATATCTAAAAATACATCCGCTAAGTACATTTAGAAATACAACGTTATATATTTCTTAAACAATTAAAAAGAAATTTTTAGATCATAATTTTTTACTTTATATCTATCATTCATGAGTCAATATGCTTTATTTATAAAATTAAATGGGTTTGTAATGATCGTTGTGCTCTATTGTAGCGTTGCTTTTATTGCTAGGATTAGCTAAGTAGCTTTGCAGATTTCTTGTAAATACATTCAAGCTAGTCGATACACCAACAGATGTTACGTGGAATGTTGCGGATAGTAGTCGATACTCGTATCCGAAAGAGCGGCGAGATAGGTAGGATGTAGCGTGGACGCCAGATCGGATCAATGCGCCGTATACGGTCGTCTATACATCGTTCGGCGGTTTGGGAGAGAAAAAGAACGCACAGATAGAAATTTGGAACTTGTCCAGACTGAACCAGCTCTCTTGCGGTACTAGTCTTATCGCGTTAGTCTTGTTGAGATCAATTATTCTCTATCTTTTTATAGGTTGTTTTTCTTTCTCTTTTTTATGCCACTATAGATCTCAGATCTATAGAGACAGTTTGTATTCCATCTTGTAAGTTTCTGTATTTTTTCTTAATTTTGCTTAAATATCTCTATTTTATTATTCGGATAAACACATTTAAATTCTCACGAAATAATTATTAAGCGCAAACGTTTAATTAATGCTTCGTTTTGCTGCAAAAGTCAATATCTATTGTTATCTATTGTAATCGCGAAACGCCTCGAGATAGAGATGTTATCGAACACCAAGTGCAACATTACGATATCTGGAATACTCTGTATTTACCTCGCGCTTGCCTTCGACCTAGAGTAAACCGAATAAATGCCCCAGATTATATACAGTCTAGCTGTTGTTTTATAATGTACCGCGAAGTGTATTCACCGATCAGTAAAACAAAGATAATTTCTAATGGAAAGGATACTTCTTATGTTCCTTATTCCATATCAAAATTTTTCCGATAAAAATTAGATACGTTGTCCGGTTATTTATTTTAATTAAAAACCCACAGAAAAGCCTTCGGTAAACTCGAAAGAGAGATAAGGAAAGAGCAAACTGAACAAGCAATATTTTACACGAGAATACATAATCTTCTTGCTTTCTTGATCAAATTTATCTCTCGAGGGAACTTTAAAGTAACGCTTGAATAAAATTATCCGCTTGAACTTAGCAATACACATGATATTTATTCTTTTTCAATTGTTCTTCCTTCTTGTGCCACCTATTATGCGAAAATAAAAATGCTAAATCATAAATAGCTGAAAATTATTAATTATTTATAAAAGTAATGAATAGCAATGAAGAATGTGAATACATTTATGCAATTAAAATACTTTAGTTTGATATGTTTTTAGATTCTCCTCTCTTTGCATTTACACACGTTGCAGAAATGTATCTAGTACTTAGACAGAATTCACGCGTAATTATCTGACAAATATGAGGTTCGTGTCTCCAATTAATCGTGGATGAACGTGACAATAGCTCGATATCGGCAGATTAGATACCAAGGGAGCTAAGATACCTCGATGCATCGTTAATGCGGATATTCCTACCATTGGTGATTTAGAGCTTCGTCGAAATCTAATGGAAATAAGGGCCTCTCAGCCGAGTGGTTCGGATTTAGCGAGGATTATCGGATCATAAATGAATTTGGCCGAATCAGCATCCCTTCCCGAAAATTCGACAACTCCAGCATTTTCATTCGCAGCGTGTCGCTCGACTTTATTTAGTACGATATTCGAATTGAAAGAGAATTAATTAATCTGTTTAACGCAATACAAAGCAATTAACATAAAATGAAATTGATTGTGAATAAATAAATTTACTTGAATCATGTATGATTTTTAGAATAATATTTAACATTTTATTGCCAATAATTAAAATAATACAATTTGCAGTAATTACGAGATGACGCACATATAAAAGTAAAAAATTATAATTCTCAAATTTATTATACATGATGACAGAATTACATATTCGTATCTCATATATGAATCCATATGAATATAAATTCAATGGTTAATTATTATTTTCTGCCATTCTAAATTTTACACCCAGTCGGATCTGTGGCAAGATAAATTTGTTATTCCTGGTATTTCTGTTTAACGACAAGCCTTCTACTAGGTCCCTAAATTTAACGGTCTGTGCCTTTGCTGAATTTGCGACACCAACAGTGTCGCGAATGTCATCAGCAAGTTTATTGCTATGCAGTTTAAGCGCAAAGAACATACTGGCATGCATGTATGTATACGTACAAGCGTATGATTAGAGACTAAAATGGTCACGACATTGACGCGGGTGTTCAGGAGGGTGAGGGAACCATCGTCGGCTTGGTAGACAAACTTCTCGTGGGATATCCAGGTCGTTGGTAACCTGTGCGGTGTCAGGTCATCACGAAGGCACTCGTCTAATGTAAGACGCCTGCCGCTCCAGTACAGGAGCTCGTCGACGTACCTGTAATTTTATCACCGAATAATTACTTGTATTCCGCGTCGCGAAACGGAGTGCACGGCGAGCTTTGCCGCCGGTCGTAATTTTGTAACTCAATACTATTATCGCTAACTCTGTGAAAGCGGATTCGGGTCGCGGAAAATCGGCCGCTAAAAGTGAAAATAATAGAAGAGCAAACTTCGCGAACTCACCCGAGGAGATAAATTGCCGTGACGATACCAGCGATAACGAAGCCGATGACCAGTAGTGAGAAAATTATGCTCCGCCAGTTGTGACCACCCTCCCCATACGTTAAATCCTGTAAAAGAAAATATCCTCCCACGTAACACTCGGTCGATCGGCGATAGTGGTTGACGAGCTATAATGCAGAAGCGGATTGGTACAAGAGAGAGAGAGAGAGAGAAAGAGAGAGAGAGAGAGAGAGAGAGAGAGAGAGAGAGAGAGAGAGAGAGAGAGAGAGAGAGAGAGAGAGAGAGAGAGAGAGAGAGAGAGAGAGAGAGAGAGAGAGAGAGAGAGAGAGAGAGAGAAAGAGAGAGCATGCAGGTCACGAATACGGAAAGAGGGGTTCAGAAGACGATTAGGAAAATTTAACATCGACGAGAAACGAGCGATCAAAATTATTCAAAACTTTAGATCGGATTATTAAATCCCCTATGTTAAAATACCCTGTGTTCCTCACTGCGTTTGTTACGAAAGTATAAATAATATCGTATATATGAATATCTCCGTGTGTTGTGCGTATCTTGTATCCTTAGATGATATTCTATGGTATTATTCGTGCAAATTATATTTATGTAGCTCCGGGAAATGTACACCGGCGTTTCATGCGGCTTTGAGTTTGCCCTCTATATGTCATTACACATTTCTTACATCGGAAAGTTGGATGTGATGTTGTGTTGTGCAGTTTTTTTCGTTAATCAGCAACAACAGCAGGTAAATAGAAGTATGTCAGGTGTATATAAAGCTTTTTGCTCTGTTCCAAATATTCCGTACATTACGTGCAAGAAACACGTCAAAGTTTAGTAGCTGCAGTTTGGCCAGAGTACAAAGGAATTTTTTCCTTCGCCGGTTTTGCCTCTACCGCGCGAGTCGCAATTTCCGGGATGATCCGTCGACGACTTCGTTTCCTTGGCCCGCATATGACTCTTTTCCGAATCGATGAAATTTCTTTTGAAAAAATCACTTATCCAATCAGACTTCCCTTTCTACTCACAAAATTTGCTTGATTTTATTGGATTCTGAAATATCTTGAACGGTAACGGTTTTATAGAAATTTTTCCCTTCGATAAATAGCGATGTGATAATTAATTGCGCATTTTCACGTGTACTCTGCGCCAAAACTTTGCAAACTATGACCCGTAAAGCATGCGATACTCCGTCGTCATTAACAATTCCCTCCTGCGTTGTTAATCAGTAAAAAGTAACGCGGCAGTTATTTATCCAACTTGAGATTACTTTTGCGAACCGGCGAAAATATTAGTATTTCTCGTTACAGGAACGGACTTTATTTTCGTGGACTGTAAAAATGCTTTTCGGGTCGCGAAGTTCGATCGCCGCCTTCCAGAATATCATGATTCTCGTTCGCTCTCATGAAATACGTCACCGGTTGCGTCATGCATATTGCATACAGCTGATGTCTGCGCCTGCACAGTCGTTCTCCTGCGCGCGGCACCGGGCCGGATAACACGTGCGGATCATGTAATACAGACGAGTCGGATTTCGTATTACGCGTGAACTGTGCAGCGTGTGGATCGTTGTATAGCTCTACCTATTAGAACAGTCTCACACGTGTTGCTGCATGCGTACTTTGTTCGCTTTAGATAAACATGGAACGTCATTCGCGATGTTCGACGACGAGGTTTCTATTTTTGACGCACAGAAATTGTGGATGTATGTTACTTTTTGCTTTATTGAATAATTGAATTCCGTTAAAATAACTTTTTTATATTTTACTTAAAAATTTGTCTTAATTTCAAAATTGGCGATGTATCATATGGTGTAAATTTTTCTTTTGTTATGATATAAATTTTTCGACGCAGCAAAAAAATTGCAGCGCGATACAATCACATTTCATTGTTTACTGTGATCGTTTACTTATACGTTTGGAAAATAAATATAATGAAATTGTCTCTCGTTGTGTGCATTAACTAGCAGCGAGACAAGGAATTTTCAGCTTGCAATATGGCTGGATCCATTTTCTTGAAATAATCCCATTTTATTTCGGATATCGCCGATAATGACATTGCTCCTTACAATCAAACAAATGATCGTCCGTCGCGCCGATTGTTGTTTATCCGGAAATAATCGCCGATCTTTCCGTTAACCATTTTCCGATTCACCATTTTACCTTCCTCCAAATCGCGACTCTTTCTTTCTGTCCCAGCGATCGATTTGTCGCCACTTTCAATTCAAAACGCATGGTCGCGTGTACGTATGCGGCGAGATACTATATATAGGATGACTACAAACTCACCTGAAATGCGATAGTGTTACACTTCGCGTGTTGATGTCTATATTAAGCGCGATGCATTATTACGAAGCATTGTTTCGCGAAGATTCGCGCTGCTTCGCACAGAAATAACATGAATAATAAAATGTATTAAATAATATAATGCGATACTGGCTTTAAGGTTTTCTAATGAAATTAATAAGTAACCAATGGTTGATTTAGTAAAAGCGCTATTCTGTATTTTACTTTGTTTACTCGTTGACAGAAACGTTTCGGACACCGCGCGTTAAAGAGTGCTTGCTAAAACCAAAAGCATTGGCCTGAAATTTATTTAATTTTTATAATATAAGCACAAAGTTTTTTATACAGATTTTAAGTATTCTTTTTTGTGCATAATAATAACCGTTGCAAGTATAGAGAAAGGTCGGGTAACTTTAGATAGCAAACGCTTTCGAATAATACCGGCTTATTAAAATTTTTGTAAAATTTATCGCGAGTGATAATTTACTTTCCTAAGTAGATTAGTCTCATAAAATGCCGCGGGATTCTCGGAAGCGTCAAATAAGTTACCGAATTTTCTATCGGCAAACACCGACTATAAGCAGATCCGGGAAAATACTTATTGAAATAATTCATGCACAATTAATCGGTTATTATATTACGTCATTGTTGCGGCGAGCTGGTTCAGCAAGCACTCGAGATAGTTTGTCAGACGAAATGCGCTAGCTTATGCATCGGGTTGTATATCGGGTGAACCGAATACAAATGGGATTAATTCAAAGGAAATATCTACAAACGATCGCGCGGTAATCCGACATGACGGTTTTCGGGTATCCCGCCGTGACGTGTAGTGAACTGCAACGGTATGATAGAGAGAGATAAGGTTGTCACACGCGGATGCGCCGAAATACTGCATTCATCGCTGCATGTGTTTGTGGTCACTATGCATTCAGTTAATTTTTCTTATTTTATGCAATGCAAAAAAAGCGGGGAGCGACGCTTTCGTTTATCCGCTGCGTGCAATTTTCACGTTAAATTTCCAATCGTTTACTGCGACATTTTTTTATAAGGATTATATTGTAAGCTTAATATACGTACACAAATGCACTGATAATCAAATGCAAATAAAATTTTAACGTTGCCGTCACGGCGGTCACCGGTGACTGACAAGGTGTAATTGTTGGATTGTGTAATACATAATTTCGAATTTTTTAAATATATCTATCTAACTTTTTGCCGGACAAAGTGCACTTTAATTAAAACGTAAATTAAATATTTGTTTGTCAAAGTAATTACGTATTGGTTTCTAAGTTAATTAAAATACGCTTGGCGAATGTGTTAAATGTCAGTATATAATATCGCAGCACGATTGAACAAATTTTCATTTTTTATTTTGTTCTCTACGATAGGCAGTTATAATTGCAGTGAAGAAATTTTTATGGTCTCTAGTTCCAAAGTTTCTGATTTCCATATTTGCTACGAGATTTCCATTCCAAAGTCCAGTTGCTGCGGACCGAATCGCGCTTCTGAAAATTGAATATGCGCGATTTTATCGTTTTGATTCGCTGCTTTGTCATCGGATAACAAAATACGTGAGCACGGAATATGATCGTTATTGCCGTTGAAGTTTCGACACGCTATACGACACTATTGTTGGCTACCGTTTTCACAATGACGTTTCAGATGAAGCTACAAATGCCAGCCATCGCGCAATTTTACATAAAAATTGCTTTATGTTATTTCGAATGTACCGTTAAATTACAATTGAAATTTCATCGTATTATCGCGAAAGAATTTTTCGTAATCGATAAATTGATGAAATTTAACCGCTGGGAACGTCGCTGCAAGCGCGATCGGCGAGTATAACAATGCAATTATTACGAAATGTTCGTAGAAGCGAGAAAATTGGGCCACAGCGTGTCGCGAGAATTCGAAGTTCTATCGGTGCCAGATTCCATGTCGCTTTTACACGATAAAAATGCGCCGACATTTTCACGCGTTTAAGTCCACCATTCTGGTGGAAGTTATTTACAATGTACTTGAACGTATATCTTAACTGTCCTGTAAATCCGATAGCGCGGAGATTATCGCCGACACTTTCGCAAAGTGGTTGCTTACGAGATTTGCCCCGATTGCGAAGATACGACAAGAACAACTATTATAATCAGGGAGATTCCGCAGCGTGATGCAGCTGGATAACTAGATCGTCGGGCGAAGTTTAAATTATGAAAGTGATAGAGCTGATTATGCTTATCTTCTGAAAAACTGGTGGAAGTGTTAGGCATGGCTGTGCCTCTCGTTCTGTCGTTCGCGAAGACGAAATCTGCTTGTCTTGTCCCGAACAATCGTCGACACTATACACGCGACAACAATATTAATAGAAACAGTATAAATCACTTTTCACCCGACACCAATAATTAATTTATCCGTTCAAGAGGCACAGATGCGCGGAACAGACTGCCGAGAGCGTTTCTGCCAAGTATTTCAGCCTACCGCCGCCCACTTTTCGATTCTCCCTCTCTATCTTTCCCCTACATTCATATATACATACGTATATGCATATATATTTAAAATAGTAAGCACGCGCGTGTATATGCATGCGTCATTACGACACGTGTCAAAATATCGCGCGACCGATCAGCGGCGCGACTGACATTATTTACGATCGATCCGCGCCTCGCGAAAACGATCGAACGATAATGCGCGAGTGATAACAATCGGCGGTTCTTTCGCGAGCACAATTCCGCAAATTGATTGTCCGTTTATGCACGGCTTCTCCGGCCGTCGGTATCGATAGTTCCGTTCGCCGCGACCAACAACTTCGGACTAACGTGGCCGAGATTTTCTTGAGGACGGAAAAACGCCTCTATCTGCCGTCGTTTTGCTCTCTTTGCGCCTTCCCCGGACAGGAAGTTCAAAGGAACGGTACACACGTACACGAGACCGTCCCATGTACGACCCTCTGACGGAGTGACGGGATCAGTCGTGCAAAAGGGCCGATAATCGAGCGTGAGCAAGCCGCTTCGATAATGCATTCAACTGCTTTCAGCACGGCAAAATCTTTCTCGGATCGGTAGTTTTATTCGTAAGTTCTCTCCACAATAGGACAGGATCTATCTCGAAAATTGTCAAAGCTTTATAAGGATGGGGTATTTAATTGCAAGTGCATGTACTTGGGTTGAAAATAATTCGCGGAAGTTTCGACGTAATGACAAATGAGGCGAAGCGGTTTTAGATGCGGCTCTGTAGTCTGAGAAACGGGAACTACGGCGAAAGTCAAACTGCGAATTTCTACATGTTGGTCGCGATACAATAACGTATCCAGCGGAAGCAGTGCGCTGAGCTTACGAAACTGCAGCCAGTTTCAACGCGGCGGTTTTCCTCGGGGGTGTAATGGTTTTCCACCGCGCGTCCGTTCAAATTAAAATGACGCCCGGCGTATTTTAGCTGTTAAATATTTCAGGAAGGCTCGTTTTCTCTTTGTTTAAAAATTTATCGCCGTTCCCTCGGATATATTAATAGAAGTTTACTCGAGTGTCGCATATACCTTAATATTTGCTGAATTGCATAATTACTAAGCATTTTTCAATCAGATGCATCACGGGAAACGTTCTTGTGTTAGCACCATGTTTGGTAATTTAATATTTACGAGTGTTTAAAAATAGTTTTGTAGTTTTCTTCTGTATTGATTTGCAATATATCTTTTGCACATCCGCGTTTGATTCTTATATTATTTTTTTTTATTTTAACTTATATACTTAAATATTTGATGCTGATTCGACAACGCTTAGTAACCGTGAATAGAGATTAGGGCACATAATATGTGTTAAATTATGAATATCGTTATCGATCGCAAAGTGTTTAGGTGTGTCGGATAAACCCAGCATGCTACGAGATTGGAATCCATTTAACCCTTTTGTCGAAAATTTGCTGAAGGTTTCTGTGACTCTGAGAACCAATGTCACACGCGAGCAGATACTGACGGCAACCAGAACAGGCGAGTGAAATGGTATTGTTCTGCGGCAACGGCTTCGTCGGGCGTGTGTAAGAGTTTACTAGGATCTGTATGTGTGTGTTTATATGCGTGCGCACTTGCATATCGAAGGGTTGAAACGTAGCCGCTACACACCGCTTCCGTTTTCTGTTTCTCCAGACACCCACCCGCTATCCTCGATTCCGCGGCGTTGTCAGGTTAGTCCGATAATCAAGTTATTTTATGTTTGTATATGCGCCGCCAGCCAACAGAAATTTTTCCGATTCTGTCGTCGGTATCTCTTTACCGTGTTGCTATGTACCTTGCTGCTCACATATGCTCCTTATTCTTTTCGGTCTTGCCTTTCTATTTTCCGCTCATTTTCGTGGCGGGTGATAAATTTGTTTACACTCGTAGGTATCGGCTGGACTCCGCGGAAATTGCATACGAGCGAGAGAAGCGGCAGACTGATCGATTACTTCATGTATAGCATGATGTTAAAAAATGGTTGAAGAATCTATTTTTTTCTACTTTTTTTTCAAAAAACCAAAATTGCCAAGATAATAATTAAATCTAAAAAGAGCTTTAAACTAATTATTTACATTATTAATTGAGTTAATTGACGTTGATAAAATTGCTTTTAGTCGATCAGTTATAAAACATTTGTATTGCAAACAATTCAGTTTTGCCTCTCACCTCTCTCTCTCTCTCTGCGCATTAATAAATATTTAAACAGTGCTAAGAATGAATTATTTATCTCCTCTTTTCGATAATGGTTTGCGCATTTGAATCCTCGGCCGTCAAAGAGCGAGTTGTGCCAGCCGGAAGGTACTTTGCTTCGCGACGGTTTATTCCCCCAATCGACTCATAGAGCTAACAATAAGAGGTAAAAGTCAAAGGTGAGCAAAGGGCGAGCGGACATGGCTCGTGAGATTGCACCGGTAATGGATCGACGCGATAAAGCAATTGTAGTCGTTAATGCGCAACTGTTGTAAAACGCGAGAATTTTATGAAAATTTATTCGATCAATATTTTTTTACTCCGCGGCCAATTAAAAATGCGAAATCAAGATGCTATTAAAATAATATAAATTTTATATAGTAACTTTGTTTTACTTAAAAATAATCTTGTAATTTTGTTTTTTTAATTTTTTTTTTAGCTTTTTTTATTTTCGATTAAATAAAGTACAATAGCGGTTTTGATATAATCGAGGGACGTCATAATAAGAGCGGCTTCTATTTTGCTGCTCTCAACGAGTATAATCTTTGAAAAGTCGTTCCGGGAAAGTATAAGGACATTGTCGGATCGTCGTCTTTGTTCCGGACGGCCAGTTAATTTAAATATAATTAAACTACTTCGTGCAAACGCGGAGGCAGAGGAGAGTATCGCGGATAAATGGCGGACGGAACTTTAGTAACACTTTCCTAGGGCTTGCAAGTGCTCATAAACCAGAACGAAAGAGCCGCCTAGCGTATAAAGAAGACATTTTACGTAACAAGGCGTGCTTTGAAGAGAGATGCGTGTGGATTCTCTGCATATGCGACTTCATAAATGTAGATATTTTCATCGCGAGAAAAGTTATACCATTCGCTCGATTAACGACAGCACATCACGATTAATTCGGTGTGTTATTTTATGACTTAATTGGATTTATATCGACTCGCACGCGTCACAAGTCCTGTTTTTATACATGCGCGAGAAGACATTGACACTGAGTTAACGAGACATCAGCCGTTTATTTAAACGCTCGACGAGATGTTTCATTCCATATACCGTTATCGACAAACAATGAACGTAATTGACGCTTTTGTCAGCGTAGACGCCAATTTAAAGTTGAGATATCGATCGGTAGTCAAACATTGCATGAATGTTGCAGGATAATCGTATAGTTTGCTCTTGTGTGAAAAGTTTAAGTAAACTAACAATTTCTAACTTTATCAAGTTTTCCAACGACTTCTCTATAAAAGATAGAGTTTTAGATTATACACTTTTTTAAAGAAAGGACTGAGTTCTTATAGATCGTAAATACCCGCTATGAATTCGATAACTTGCTGCGCTCTCCGCTCCGCTATGTCGAGTGCGATACTCGTTATACTGAGTTATACCGCGCATAGTTTGTACACAACATAACTACGCTATTTGAACTATTACGCTGAGTGGTCACTAATGCATCTATCGACGCTTAACGTAGGTAATTCCGCCATACCTGCGAGCGTATGCGGCCGCGAGATAATCGCCGAATGGTTCGACACTCGAACCTAACATTACCATTTAGGAAGATATACAAAATGCAACACACATCATTGCAAGTGCAATACTTTAACATCCACTACAGTATCTACTAGAGTGTATCGGATGTGTGACTTTTTTTTATAGATAATCAAACAAAATGCAACATATATGTTTATACCTTACTACAACACCTCTAATACTCGGATACATTATTCTTAGACACTTATAAATCGGACGATCGCATACAGTAGAGCTACTTGAATCCATGAAGAACTTTCAAAACCTAACACTTTAGACATTAACAAATCTGTGCGAAACAATCTAATACACCGATCACTTATCAACATTAAGAATGAACTGTTCTACGTTTCTTAATATCCCATTTTTATTTTTATCTCATCCAATATTATTGCACAGTACAGGTTATTAAATAGCTTCTCTATCGAAAGATTAGTTTTTCTTTCTTGTAAATGGCCTTCACAAATTAATAACCGATACTGTAACATCGACTTTCATTATATACACGTATATATATAACCGTACATCTACATGCATCTAAACCTGACCGTATTGTCCGCGACAAGGACTCGACGATTGGGAGGGGAACCACTTAGTAGTGAGCCGGTTGAGCGATTTACCTCTTTTACCTGGGCTGATTTTGAACGGGGATCGGCGACCTGGACGGTCTCATCGGGAGGCAGCCGCCAGGAGTTCCTCTCGACGTTAACGCTGGCGTTCATAGCGGCCTCCTCCTCCGCCTCCCGTGTCCTTCGTCGGTCTCAGCCACTTCGTCTTCGCGCGATCACCTCCCCAAGGTCCCCAGGGTAACCCCCGGGCCACTCCTGGGGCCGAGGTTCTATTGCACCAATCCACAGTTTCTCACCTGAAGAGGAAATAAAACTTGATAAATTTGTACGATAAAATATAAAGCGGCGGAAAAATATACATTGATCCAATCTAGCGGCAAAATTACTGAATAAACTCATGGTAGCTGATGGAATATTGTATAGAAGAAGATGGAATATTAAGGATAGCGAAAGGGCGGAAAGAGATAAAGAAGGTAGACTATAAGCTCAAGGGTAATAGCATCAGGGGATGAAACTCAATCTAAGCTTCGGCCCACAAGTTAAGCACAGTATACAGGAGTAATAGCAAATTGAAGCCGCGAGCAAATTTTGTTTGAATGTTCCAAAGACGGATTGCATGAACATCTTCGTATTCGCGAGTCAGCAAGAGAGAGAGAGAGAGGAGAAATTTCAATTTTTTTTTTTTTCAAACAATCTCTGATTAGTTATTCGATAGAATTTAATTTGTTTCAATCTCTCTTTCTCTCTCTTTCTTTTATTCGCATGTTCCGAGACTCGCCAAAAGCCAATTAAGGATCGCCTCGACAATCAACGTTGTAATTTTTCCGAGGAATTTAATATCGTAATTTTGCGCGATACGATTAGTCAACGCCTCGAATTCCATTGAGAAAGTTACAGTGCTTAATTCGCGATTCGTGCCGAGGGGAAGAGAAGTTAGCGATCCGCTATCCCAATTATTGTGCACTTTTTTTGTCCACGACGGAGTTGCAACGGGTACGTTCGGTAACTGAAACGGGATCGTGATAACGAAGTGCCGATCTCGGTTGCCACGAATTTATGGGGCGTAAAAGAAATACAAAGAAGTGGGAAGAGGCGGGCGGTACAAAGAGGAACGATCGATCCAACTTTTCGTTTCTGTTTTCTCGTCGTTACGCGGATCGCATGCGGCTAAATTTAGAGCGGCGCTACACCTGCAAAGTCACACAGTTTAATTAACTATCGCCGGATTGCAAGTGACAAAAATCATTTTTACAAAATCTCTACTGTATCTCTGCTAATCCTTAATTCTTCTCAGTACAAACATCGTTGATAAGCATGAATAGTAATAAAACATTTCGTCATAATGTAAAAACACAAGAAAAAAGACGAGTAACTCTCACGGGAGGAAGCGTGACGGAAGACGTTGTCTCCGTCGCGGAGTTTGCGGGAATAGTGCGCTTCACGTGTGACGTCAGAGAGGTTACGTCAGTGGTGCAGCAGACTGTGTGGATACAGCCTCTCGGCGATGGTAGAGATGGCTGCGCTGCGGAAGAGAACCACGGGGGGAATGGGTTCGCCGTGAGGTCGCGGGGGCGAGGGGGGGATGATGCGCGATGCTGATCGAGGAGAATTCGCGGATACCGCATGGAGGACATGGCTGACGCAAAAGAAGGTCGATTACCCCGGATTCGTCACCGGATTTCATTCATCAGTCGAGCGAAACCCACGCGAGCTAACAAGATTAATTCTCCGCGGTTGTCTCCACAGCGGAAAGGACAAAACCGAACGTGATGTGTCGATATCGGCGATCTCTCTAACTTGCCAAACTGGGACAGAATTTCCAAAGGCAGCAATTACAGTGCGGCGCGGTCGCCGAGCTGGTCGCGCCAAGTGTATGTCGATTATTGCAGGTAACGTGGCGGTAAATTAATGGTCGTACTAGTTAGGAAGGAATTATTCCTCACCCCCGAGAGAGACGAACGGATCAATTTTACAGTTGCAATAACGCAAATTGTTTGAAATGAGAGAAGGTCGGAGTGAATGTTCTAGCTACAATTTCAATGTAATATGGTGAGAGACCTGACCGATTCGTTTCGTTTTATTCGAGTCGTTTTCTTCGACTCGCCTGTATCGACATCATAAATCAATTCGGGATTTTTGTTCCGCAAAAAGAGATCGTAAGAAACGCGCACCGGGTAATCGAATTCTCACTGCGAATGCCGCGAATGGATTTGCAATTTCGCTAAGCTTACTCCTTCCGAACTTTTTGCAAATGCATCTTGCTTCGCTTACGAACTATGTGGCGCCAAATTGGCTCGCGAAATATTTCATACGATGTCTTCGCCATCCTTCTTATCCATCCTCTTTGATCGATCGACGGACATTGGTTAAATTTTTTAAATTGCAAGGTTGGTCAAGATGTATACAGATTTTTTCCTTCGCAGAAATAAAGATAAAATAATCTTTTAAAAAATTTATTTTATTGAAATTATATTGTGTAAACGTATCTCAGTTATAAATTTTTTAGATTGCAAAATTGGCCATCAAAAACCTGCTACGTGATTTAAACCTTTTAAAAATTTATCTTGTATAAATTATGTGTGTAGGCGCGGCATTATGATACGTGTGAAAATAAACAGAATATTTATGCAGCACTTGTGGGCAGCACAATGATAAGATCACAATTTCCGCTTACATTTTAGACCGAAACATTTCTGTAGTTTTATTTTGATTTTTACACCTCGATACCTGCGTTTGATTTTCATAGCCTTTTTTCTGTTGTTTTTTTAATGATTAGGTTTCTTCTTCATCAGAATGAAGCGAGATATTGAGATATATCTACCAGCTTTACCAAAGGTATATATTGTATGATATATTTTGCATTATTTTCCGAACGGAGATATGTTGTACTCTTTAAAGATGGAATTTATCGTGACTTATTTTTATTCTCCTTTGAAGCGAGATCATTATCTCCAAACTAGAAGGACGAGCGATCGCGTCGTAAAAAGCCCGACGGTTTCTTTAATTCTGTCTTGTCTGTTGCATTTTTGCGAAATAAGGCTGCGAAAAACGTAGACAGCATGTCTCCGTGAGAAAAATATCGGATGTTGCGAAGATCGATACGACCTGCGCCGACCTCCTCGATGTCTTCTCCCTATTTCCACCTGATTTTTATTTCCATGTTGCATTCACATCGTCGGCATTCGGTATCGAGAATTTTCCTCTCGAGGCTTTCAAGGCATTACGCGTGAAGTCAAAAAGCGTCGATCCATAACTATTGGTTGACAGATAGCTCGTTTACACACACATTTATCGAATTCACAGTATCGCACGTTTGACTATTTATTTATTTAGCGCGTGTATTACATTTTGCAATACCAGTTGAATTCTTTCACACGACAGAATTACATACACACATATTCACAAGTACATTCAGATATATATTAATTCTGACTTTTTTTACACATTTTCTTTTAATGTGACCAAAGATCAAATAACGTTCAAGTTCTTAAAGGCAATCCTTTATCGGTGACGGAGACGCATGATGCTTAAATCAACAGACGTATCAACGCGAATAAAGCGAACGATATTGCGTATGGGTTGCCGACGACAGCGTACGAATACCACTATGCATCTGAAGCTTTCTATTGTGTATTACGCGCACGTATAGTAAATATATATATCGGTCTGTTGAATATGCTAGACTGTACATCATTCTTTTCTTTTGTCATGAAGGATTCGTTTCTCACTAGATACTTTAAAATAGTGCACTTTATTCTGAATTTGGAAAAGGACGATTTGAGAAACAAATGAGGCACTTAAATCAATTTTGTTCTTGAACAATCTAACTTGCTTGAATTGCTCTTGCAGTAATATGGAGGTACACATTTGCTTATGCGCGCGAATCGCATGTATATGCTTCATGAACGACTGATATTATACCGCTCTTGAAGTTCGTATTACGTGGTTGTTCCTGCAACCACGAGTGAATATCTGTATACTAAAATTAAACATGTTCGTAGTTATAGCTTGCACCTAGACGTTGCAATTATTAATTTTCCAGCCGTTTAAAGTTGAAATACGTTTGTTATCGTTGAGAGCGATAACTGAAGAATTTGTGTTCAGTTTTTAACTTTTCTGTTAGAGTACTGATAAATCTGTGAATTTTGTTTGCTTATTTCGATTATTTCGGTAATTAAACTGTCTTTCTGAATAACAAAAAATCAAGTTTTCTTTTTGCTAAAGACTTTTAAGCGAGAAAATGTTAGTCCGCGGAGTAATACACGATATTGACACATACATATCTGCAAAAGTGTTTTCTGCACATCTTTCTTGTACAATTTGGGATATAAAAAAAACTCATCCGACAACCTATTGTCGAATCAAGATCGCATCAAACGAAATATCCCCGACTATGCTGGCCGCTGAATGTAACTGTATTCCAACTGAAACTCCAGTAAAGAGGACTTGGTATTACTTCCCTGAGGGAACCGATGTCTCGTAAATAACATTGGCGGATCGCGATGCAAATGCGCGTAGCGTATGCGCATAGCGCACGTCGATTCCCCAAGCACGAAGTTAACTCTTTCAACTGCCGGTAATCAATGTCCGCTTACGCGGAAACGCAGTTTGAAAACAAAGCCATTTGTCTATCCCTAAGCGAAGGGAATGAGCACCGGTCGAATGACGGTGGTGCGAAAAACAATGACGAATGCACCGGAATGAAGCTAGCTTGCACTTTGATGCCGATGATGATCTCGGATTTACCGCTTTTTTCCCTCTGCAGAGAAAATGCAAGTCGCACGGAGGAATGAATGTTCGGTTTCGTCAGCGCATTTCGAGTCACGTATATCGGAATATTCTGATCGAAATTTCGATTGAACTAGCATATTCTTCGAATGTGAAAAGCATCCTTTTTCAATGTAAATTTTATGTGGCTTTCTTCATATCTTTTGAATGCTGCAACATTAAATATCTTGGTGACTGGAATTAATAATAAGTTTAACAAATAAGTTTTATATTGAAATTTTGTTAAGAAGAACCTCGCTTTGAATTAACGAAGCCTATCAATTTGCAGTATCAAATATGTTTATAATTATGTCGAGATCAAAGTCTCCAAAGCGGAAGTTCTATTGTAAAATGTGTTAGATCACGGCTTTATAGTTTGATTTTTACAAAGCGTCTTACATACACGTACAGTATGCGGAGCTCGTTTATCATGTGCGATCAGTCAATGTGGTAATGCATGGAGCGACGTATCTTGAGTGCAGTTCATTGATGTGGTGGATTGAACAAGGGTTGAGATGGCGAAAAAGAA